ATGTGGAGGGAATCCTTTGCCTACTGATTTCTCATCACACTCAGTTAATGAGAATATAAAGTCTGTCCTTAAAGGCATTAAAGGAAAAAAGTGAATTTATTATTTTCTTTTACATTTATTTGCCATTATCTTTTAGTGTTGGACAGTGCCATTTAGGTGACGTTAACAGCAACTACAATCCAAGTTTAGATCAGTCCATATTATTTTCTCAAGGCAGTGGTTATCAAATGTATCGTATCTTTCAACCCAAGTATTACCTTAATGAGTGAGTTTGGTGCATAATTGCAAAATTGATCAGATTATGTTTGCATTATTGCAGGTGCTATGATAACAATCTATTCTGTGCATACAATGTACAGTGTTCCTCTGACCAGTACCTCTATTACCACTTCTCAGAACATGATATTGAGAATCCAAGTACTAATGCATTAACAATACATTAGTTGTTTATTCTAATTTATCTCTAGCAGCCTCTGGCACATGTCTTGACTATATAAATATCAGACGTCATGGGTCTCCAAATCAGAATCTCAAAACCTGTGGGCGTGTAACACAAAGTGGCTATGATATTGATAGTTTGCAAGTCAATTTCCGCTCAAACGGAGGATGCTCAGCGACTGGTTACCTCTTATGGGTTTGCTGTACAGACAATAATTCAACTAGTTCGGACGTTGGGAAGAGACAGACCACAAGCGAAGTGAGTCATGAAAATTTCACTTGTAAATAATTTTTTTAATAATTGTAGAATGTCATAACTGTCCCGTTCAAAGGTACTTTAGAGTATAATAGGAATACACTGACTGTGAGGGATCGCAATAAAAAAACACTTCGTTCTGTGTCTAACGTATTGTCACTTAGAGTGAGATATGAAGGCAGTAAAAATGAGTCCACCTACACTACCTCTGCACCAGTAACACTCAATGGAGAAGGTATGAAAACCTATTGCTTAATGAAACCTGTGATAATGATCCACCGCACTTGTTCCTATAGGTCAATTGAATGTGGAGTACTCGTGTCGTGTGGTAGGATATAGGAGACAGTGTTCTACTTCTGCCTATTACAGTTATACTGGTGTCCCTCATAAGGTAAGCTAGTCACTGTGTTTATTCCAATCAGTCTCATGCAGTTACGATTGACTCTTACTGAACAAAATGGAGTTCATATGCTCCTGTCAGGATGTGTGAGGAAATTTCAAGGGAAAGGAGACTATTCCTATATATATAATGGGAAACGTATCACTGGGCCACTACCAGCTATCAGTAATGAAGAGTCTATTATTTTATATTTATTATTAATATTAGGTACTCCAAAACAGATTTCACGTTCTGATGAGCAAACACATGTAAGTAAGAAAGTGACTAGAAGTCCTAAACCCACTGATGAGCCAGTTCCTGTTGAACTGACATACATTGCTTGTAAGTACACTATAGCTGGAAATGTTTGTAGGATTTATATTTTGTGATTTTTTGGTAATAGAGCAAAATTTAATCTATGCTGGATTTAATTTTGCTGGTGTAGATATGTTGTGCATTAACTATTATGCTTTGTGGGATTAAAATTGTATAATAAGTAGCAAAATGCAAAATTAAATTCCAGCAAATATAGCCAATTATACAATAATCTATTGATTGGTTTGTCTATATTTCAGTGAAGGCTTTGGCTTACGAGTACAGTCGTTCTGAAAATGCCATTCTGAGGTCTATTGGACTGTTCTACCTACAGAAGCCCTGATGAACCATCAGAAACAGAAGCTGAAACTTAATTTTTAATGCTACTGCTGCTACAATTATTTTCATGCTGTTATTCTTTCAAATAATAGAACACAATAATTTTGTTAAAAACGTTACACAAAATGACTGTATACAATAAAATTCAACAGTTTTGCTAGATGTGATTTATGAGAAAGAGAGAGGAACACCATAATGATGCATTTTAAATAAGTGCCAGTTAGTGGGTTGGTCACAAGAACATACACACAACATAAAATTTGAAATTATTATCACTGTCAGTCAATGTGTCGCAGTAAGTGTTATATTGGAGCTATAATAATAATGATCAACAAGATAACAACAAAAGCAATAAGTAATAATAGGACACATGTTAATTTGAGCTCTATTCACATGCACAGTTACATGTATGTCTATCTGCTTAGTACACACTGACAGATTGACAGACCTCTCTTTAGTAGTATATTATTCCTATTGTCTGCCTGAGACTGAGAATACACACCATCTCCTCCTCTTAAAGTGACTGATTGGCCATCAATGAAATCAGTTGGTATAGGAGTAAACAACTCATCAACCTTCAATATTAAAAATACAATAAATAAATAAAATGTTATGATCATACAATTAACAATAAGTCATCAAACTCTCCACACTCCGTACATTAAAAGATTATTTATTAGACTAACAATTCTCATCAAGGTGTGGCCCAATGTCATGGACTATCACTAGTAGAGCAATTAGCAAAGGGTTTGGTTGTACAATGAAATTAAGTAGATAAGAAACAACAAGGGTATACTCTTGAAAACAATAGCTTAACAATTAACATTCTCTCCCTTACCCTCCTGCCACACACCCAAACTCTCTCCCCCTTCCTGTAATACGATGTATAAACATTCCCACCTTTTTCATTAAGAACTCCACCACAGTGTACGTATAATTCATATCAGCTACAAGTGTATTGTTCTCCTCACTGATTGCCTTCCTCACAATAGTAGGCCCAAACACTAAGCACAGATTACGCAAAGCCATCTACATATACAATAAGAACTTCATCATAGCATTTTCAATTTATGATTCTTTCATTTCTTGTTTAGAAAAGTTCATTCCTTACTTTATTAACTGTGCTGTGAGCCTCTATCCTGTTGAGATGCTTGATCAGATAGCCAAGAGTATAATAGTGTAGCTCTGGTAGGTTCTTGATCAGCTCCTTCATTCTCTCTTCCCTTTGCTCTACATCAATGTCACGAGCAGCAGATATGAATGCACCATACTGACCTGTGTGAAAGAATAGACAATAAATAATTTAATGAAACTAAAATAAGTACATGTATATGCATCAGAAAATGTAGAATTCTCTCTTAGCATTTTTTTACAAAATTTTGAGCAACTTTAAAAATTTATTTTAAAATCCAATTTTGATTAGAAACTTGCTCAAAATTTCTACATAACATAAGTACATGTACATGCATTAGAAAAAATATTAAATAAAGAAAATCACACCTAGCCATTTTTGGCAAAATAAGGCTAAAGTCCACGTACAGGGCTTTGGCCCAATTTTGGAGCAACTTTAAAATGATAAGTGTGTGGAAATGCTTTTAAAAGGAAAATCTGCACCTTGATAAGTTTTTACTTGCTCCTTAATGAGTTTAAGACAAATTATAGTGTAATCATGTTTATTGTGTGCATTCAAATATAAATAAATAAATAGTAATGACGTGGGAGGACTAATGACAGTGCATATTACCAAAGGATGCTATAGGAAGGAGCGGTATAGTGAGTGGGAGTTGATAGTAAGTAGTGGGTCTTAGTTATGAGTAAAAAGCTTTGTAAGTGTTTGCTGTGTGGGTATAATCCTGTATAGATCATTATCAAATTAATAAAGCTATGAGTTATAGCAAAGTGAACAAGTAGAGAATAAGGTACATTTGAAGGGAAATAAATAGATTATAACTTCAATAGCAACTGCTACATGCACATCATAGGAAAACAATTGATAATAATAGCCAGAACACATTACAATGGATAAATAGATGCCTATTTTTTAGGTTGCATAACTTTTTAGAAAATTTTAACTGTTTCTGACAAATAATAATAAAGTTATGAGCATTGTAAAAATGATTCAATTTTTGAAAAAAAGCAAAGACTACAGCCCACAAAACTGGCTCTGAAATCACTCTCAATTTTTATTACATTTTCTGATACACATTGATGCTCTTATGCTATATGCAGAAAGTTTGAGCTGTTTCCAAGAAATAATTTTTGAATTATGACCATTTAAAAACGAATCACTTTAAAAAAGTAAAGGTTACCATGGTTTTTTCTGAAAAATGGCTCTAAAATTTTCCCCAATTTTTATTAGATTTTCTAATACATAGTGATATCCCTATGCTATGAACAAAGTTTGAGCTATTTCTGACAAATAATTTTCAAGTTAAATCCATGATCTATATTTTATGAAACATAAGGTAGATTCTCAATATATGACGCTACGTTTTTTGTGTTGTTGCATCACAAAGTTTCATCGAATGGTCATATTGTAAACAAAAACACTAGCCTTTGTAAAGTTTGTGTCAGAATAAAATTTATTTCTATTTTGACAAACTATGAATGGGTCTGACCAATCAGAGTGCTTTGACCACATGTCAATGTGTGGGGACCACATTACAGGCAGATAAAAAGCTAAAAGAAAGTGTCAAAAACTACTCTTGTCTTTGGGAGGTATCACATCCCATGTGTATAAGCTAGAAGAAATGAGTGAGGAAAATTAGGTGAAGAGATAAATCATGTCGCATGCACAATGCATGCAACAGCAATTAACAATCAGTTTTAGTACTGCACTGCATGGGGCTCAAAATCTTTATGATCAGTTGATCACAGACTAGCTGTGCCATTGATGATGCAATGAAGTCTTTGCATGATAATTTTGTTAGAAAACTTCATTAGCAAAGCTGGTGATTCAGGGTCAGTGTATATTTTCTGCCATTCAAAATTCCTAATGTCAGGAATTTAGATTTTATAGTAATTATCCAATAATCTAATGTTTAAAAATAGACATTTTGCAATTTTCAAGTAAAATAGTAATTTCAAAATTCTAAACATTGGATTTTTCAATTCACCCGTCAATTTTCAAAATTTCGAAGTTCTAAACATTGAATTTTTGAATTTAGCTGCAAATTTCTAAAATTCCAAAGTTCTAAATTATGGATTTTTGCATTTACCTACTAAGTTCCAAAATTCTAAAGTCCCAAAGAATATATAAAATTCTAAATTTCTCAAATTTTTTATTTACCAAGTGCAGGAAAATATAGATCATAGCATTCCAAATTGATTTTTTAATTAAAAAATTCCAAAGTTCTAAAAGTCTATCTTTCATTCAATTATAGCTAAACTTAATCTAGTTAAGATGAGATGTAAAACTTTAAATGCATAAATACTTAAAGTCAAAGCTCCTAAGTTCAGATACTCTGAACCAGTCACATCATTCCTGGTAGTCTTGCCGCCTAGACCATTCCCCAGCCTACAGTCATTTGACTGTAGGCTGGGGAATGGTTTGGGCGGCGAGACTACATGCCTGGCTGGTCAGGTTATTAACCACACCCACAAAATGGCTTCCAATGTGCCTCTACAAGGTTTGGAAGTTTTATCTGTGAAAAGATTGTAGAAGAAGGTTGGACTCATTCCTGTCTTAGTTTGTACTTAAAGCGAATGCATCCTGATATGCATGGCTTCAATGTCTGTTCAATAGATAGATTTTGTGCTGATAAATGCATCCACAGAACCAGTAGAATAGATGGCTCTAATTTACAAGTCGTCTCTGAAGCTGCATGTTAGAACAGCAAGTATAGTTTTGCACAATGTCCCTCATTGGTTAGGCACACTCCAATTAATATACCGGGGCTTGTGGTTTGTAACATTAATTTTAACAGAGCCTACATAAGAGGAAATTTGTATGCCTATCAGTCTTACTTACATATATGTATTGTACCAAAAATATACTGTATAGCGAGAAATTTTCATGGCCCAAGTATTTGGTTGATATACTAAAATTTGACTTTTCTTAATTATTCAGAGGTGGCTACAAGCCTTAGGACTACTTGATGAAAGTGCCAAGCTGCAAGAGGTTATTATGATCAAAGGCCCAGACCAATAACTATTACATATACTTACTTTTTTCTACTATGCATTAAAAAAACTTCATTTTTAAATAATATAAAGTCACAGTTTCTATAAAGCATATAAACAAGAAAGCAGTGTCAGCTCAAAAGTGGAGGTCAAGTGAACACACACACACACAGATAGGATAACTGCATTATAATAGCAATGCACAATTATTGCACATTCTATCCAAATATCATTTGTCAGATAATGCCCTTTACACAGTTTACAATCATACTTTTAGTTATTATTGGCAGCAACATTCCTCCAGAAATCCTTAGTATTAAAGAAACAATGTGAGGCCAGGGGTAAAAGCCTCAAGAGAGGAATTGTCAGCATTAACTCTTTTTACAGAATAAAATTTTATGGGCAAAAGGGCCATTAGTAGTGGTTTCTCCTCAAAATGAGAATAGCAAAACAGCAAGGCTACTAGTAGTAGCAATAATATCATGAGCAGAGTAGATCAAATTTTAAATGCTAAATAAAATGCCCTTATTGGGGTGAGCCTGAACAAGCCCCACATAACAACATGAGTATACTGTATACTGTAAATTTAAGCTAGGTTTACAGTTGAGTGACCTGACCTTTTGATGACAAAATGCTTTAAAGTTGATGTAAAATTGGTGAAATTTTAATTTTGCACTCATTTGCATTTCATAGTGAGTGTAAAGCCCACCGCATTAAAAGATCAAATCACCCATGAACTTTTTGACCATTTCATTGACTGTAAACCTAGCTTTTAAGGCTGATTGATACTGCAAAATTTCTCAGTGTGAATCTGCCTTTACGTCTGTCTACACAATGTATGTCTGACACCACTATAATCTAGTATTTACCCGTATAAAAATTTTCCACTTCTTAGAGGTAGCTAGAATGGGCTAGTCAACCACAAATGATAGTAGAGCATTACAAAAGATTCACAAAAATAGTAAATAAAATAGCTAACCTCAAAAATCAATCTTAATGAGTCTTTGTATAGAGTCTGGTATACCTTGGACAAAGAGTTACAGTCCCACAAAAACGAGAGTTGTACAGGGTGCCATATGTTCGCAGGAAACACAGATCCAACAGTGAAAAGTGGCGCATGTGATCCAGTTTCCAATCCTTCTCACGTAAAAATATCTATGATAAATGGCTCATCAGCATAGCATGCCAACACATAGCTATATAATTGCGGCTTCTAACAATCTTTCATCATATAAAAGCAAGGTAACTTTATAACTACAGTAATTCTTAACTGATGAAGCTAGAAGAGATGCAAGCTATGAAATTTCCATCATGCAAGGTTTGTGCTGCTCTTTATGTGAGCATGTGTATCTATTGAAATCAACGTTAGCCTATGGTGAAGCAATTACATATATTGATGTAGTCACATAATATGTTACTACATTAATATCTATAATTGCTTTGCCATAGGCTTTGCTTGCCCCTTTAATTTGTCTAGTTACCGTATAGCGGGTTTATTTTGAGCATAATAAATTTTTCCAGGAGCGCTCCTGATTTCACAAATGACCCGTATGATTGTATTCAGAATTTTGCGGAATTAATTTTCGTGAATCTTAAAAAATCCGTGAAATTTGTTATCCTTGAAAATAACCCGCTATACGGTATTATAATGATACAATTAATACATGCATATATGTATGTACATGTACACATACATGTACATATATAAGTAAAATTTCTCACTAACTTTTCCACTTTCCAGAATGTCCAGTTAGTGTATGCCGAGTATGCATTTGTATGTTAGCTGCATCCCATATCTGTACGTATTCTTTGTGAATATATATACCAATGGCTAAATGGCATCCTTTCTCTGACCATGAGACAGACATGATCAAGATCACATAGTTTTGCTACATTGATGCAGAGAAAGAGAGAAAGGATAATATATATACTTTTAATTGTGTGTACTAAATTTAGTGATTTTTAATATACTAAAGGTTTTGCTATACAAATTTTAGCATTTTTAAATTTTAGGTACAAAATGTATAAATTAATGATCTAACGCAAGATCCTTCGTTGCTCATTTTGTTTTCTATTGATAATTTCTACTAGAAAGTTCCATTATTTTATACGTTTTAAATTTATAGGCATAGCCACAGGTAGGCCATACAGGGCCATTGACCTGCCTAAAATTTCAGTGATGGGTGTGACTATCGTTGTTTAATAATTGCAACAACCACTAACACATCAAAGCTGCTACACGTCGTGAAATTAGAGCATTCTTTACTGCATCACCAGGAGCAAATCCGACTTGTACACAGGCAGAGACCATAGTCACCATACATTCACGGGACAGTTAGATAATTTTTAATGCATTTGTCATAATAATTAATTAAATTAAACGACCACGCCCACTATGAAAATTAATTAATGCCTAAATTTTTCGCCGCACTTTGCACGCCGACCGATTGGCTCACCCCTTATTGCAATTCTGGCTACGCATATGGATGAATTATTTATAGTTCTCTTGTCATAATAAAATATTAATACATGTAGATCTAAGTCATAATTAACTAAATCCAGGTGCTGACCTGTTACAAAAATATTGTTCCTTGCGTTGATAAAGCATTTCTTTAATTAAGCCAGCACGAGATCTAATGTTAACTAAAGCAAAATTCTACATTGTTATTGTTCTTACTATTAGATGAGCATCTGATAAATAGTAATCAGTACTAGCTATCTCTGATCTAATGGATGCTGAGCTGGCTGGATTTTAAACTTCGTGACTCTCTTTGCTGTGTCTTGCAAATTGCTAGTCTCGCCCTTCCCGCCTACAGTCATTTGGGTGGCTGGGAAATGGTCTGGCTAGCGACATAGATAATAGAGTAATATCCATGCTAGCGAGACTAGATCATAGATATAATACAGATTAATTCTGTCTGTGTATTAAATCTATGGACTAGATAGATGCTCCACCCATTCATCCAATCCTATTTATAGACCCTCACCCATACTGACAGTCCAACATTAATAGATGCTCCAAAAATTCGAGCAAAAATTATGTTCTTCTTTGCCCTATCTTTGATATCTTTGCTGGTGTATTCAGTGTCTGCCTCCTGCCAATGTGGAGGGAATCCTTTGCCTACTGATTTCTCATCACACTCAGTTAATGGGAGTATAACTCTGTCCTTAATGGCATTAAAGGAAAAAGGTTAATTATTTATTTTCTTTT